GTGTTCTGATTCCGAGCTATTCCACCTATCTTATATGCCTTAAAAACTCTGGAGTTATCTCAAAATTTACTCCCACCCTGACCCCGAGTGATGGCATTCAATATTGTTAAGATAAATTTTTGGTTTGCTAGATGAAAAGGCATTTGTATTTAAGAGAAATACTACTCAATCTAACATTCCCAAAGAAGGCTCTTGAATTGCAGTTCAAGAAACACTGGAGTACTTCTGAGTAAAAACCAACAAAACCTATACATTATACATAAAAATGCTACTACTGTCAAAAATGTATTATATGAAGAATTTTATCAGCAGCATTTAAATAAGAAATTCTTAGACAATAGAAGACAAACATGGTAATGCAGTCAGACCAGCACACAATACACCATTTTCATCACACAGTCACCTGAATCCCTGACAGTTTCCTAGAGGTATTAATATCATACCTTAATAAAAATTATTGGCCCCGAGGAGTGGGGGGGGGTGTCAGCCTGTCCATTTTCCCACAGTTGGGAATCAACACTTGGCTCTACTTTCTTCTAGTAGTATTACGTTTGTATAATATTCTATAAGAAAAAACCCAACTTCTTGTTATAAAGCACCATACAGTATTTCATCCTGTACAAAGGAAGTAGTTCTGAAAATTTTACAACAGGATTCCTGGGAAGGCACTTAAAGCTAACTAGTCAAAAAACCACAACATTTAGACTTTTTTATACTGCAGGGTCCTTAATATTGTCTTCTTTGTTTATATCACTTATACATTTTGATCATAAATTTCCCAGTAAATTAAATGCTATTCAAAATTAAGAAAGGAAAGACAAGAAGGGACACAGCCCACACTCTGACTGAGGAATTAGACAGAGTAATTCTAATTACCCTGACTGGTGAACTAGGCAGAGTAATTCATCAGCCAGGGTAAGAAGTTAAGAGAACTAGATGGAGCAATAGAGTAAAGCAAGCCTGGCCGAAGTGGTACTGGACTGCAAGTATGGCTAGGGTAGGATAGGAAGGTTGACTTGAAGGAAAAAATAAAGTACATTTCATTTTCAGACTCGAAAAGTCTTAAAGGTATCTTTGGATAAGTAAGTAAAGTAAATACAGTTGACCCTTGAACAGCATGAGTTTGAACTGTGTGGGTCTGCTTATACACAGATTTTTTTAAACCAAACACGGATCGAAAATACTGTATTCCTGGGACGCGAAACCCACATACATGGAGGACTGACTTTTCATACAGGCAGGTTCCACAGGGACGACTGTAGGACTTGAGTATGTGCAGATTTGGGTATACACGAGGGTCTTGGCATCAATCCCCTGGGTATACCAAGGATGCCTGTGCTTTCATATACATACTTTTTTTAAAAAAAGTCATCTATAAGCTTTAAGTGTTCCCTGTTTTACTCAAATACTGAAGATGAAAAGGATTACTAACATTAGTTCAGGTTACAAATGAAGAATTTGTAAGATTTTGCTTACATGTTTTGGAATTTAACAAAAATGGACATATTCTTCAGTTCAGATGTGCCTTGAAGAGTCAATTAAATTATAAATTTAAAGGTCTACAAATGTAAATGCTTTCCTTATAATAAATTTGATACTAAAACATCCTTCATAATATTAAATCCTAACACCACTGGTATGTTCAGTTCATAACTCAGTGATTCTACAACTGATTCCCTTTTCTGTAAGACATTTAGGAAAACTGTCTCCCACTATTATGGTTGTTTACAAAACTGTACAAAGTAATCTTATTAAGAAGGCAAGTAAAACATTGGCAATCATTTTTTTCCCAGTTCATTAACCAAAAAGCAAACAATTAAACACTTTAAAATGTTATTCCTCCTTAAGTAATGAATATGGAGAAATCGTTCTTTAAACAAATTCATCATTGAAAAATCAATCTTTACCTCAAATCCTAAGAGAAACACTTTCTTATTATGGAAAAATAATCTCTCTACTTCTCTCTACTCAGACAGTGACACTAGAAATGTTACTGAAGTTGTGACTAGGTTATGAATATGAACAAAGTTTTCATATCACTGGGATACTGGATGGTTTGAAAAGGAAAGTACAAACAGGCCTGCTGCTAGTACAAAAGTGCCTTTTATATGAATTAGGAAAGGCTGCCCTTTCCTCAAGCCACTTTATTGCCAACAGGCAGAAAATTGTGATAATTAGCAATATTGTGAAGCTACCAATGTAAATGGCTCTACTGAATTGTGCACACTTATACCCAGAGTTCTCTCATGATTCCATACTCTATTATCTTCTTTTCCTATGTGTATCTTAACTAAATCCACATCAGAGTTAAAGTTCTCTTTCAGAGTTAAAGTTCTCTTAAGGCAAAAAAAAAGTTCTTTAAACAAAACTCCCTATATGACAGTTAAAAATATCATAAATATGCCACTAACAATAATAATGATGATACAGCTTAATAATAATACAACTTTTTAAGAAAACAAAATAACTGGACATACTCTTTCCAATTCTAAACTCTCTGAGATAAGCCATCTGCATAAGTCCTTGGCAGCTTTTATAGAAACCCAAAGCTAAAAGAAGGAGCATTTTTCCAGTACCTAGAAATGTTTATTAGCTACATCAGCAAATCATTATCCCAGAAATCAACGCCAACAGTCTTCCAAATTGTGTAGAGATGACCATAATGAACCATATCATCAGCAGACTATGTTGCCAAATATTAGACTATTTAAAATCTTGAAAATTCTATAAATTCATGGTAAATCAGAACCTCAAAAATCCAAAAATTCAAATTTACAAAAATAAATACCACTCTGACACTCAAGGGACATCTTCACTTTAAGGCCTTTGTCACAAATCTGAATCTTTATTGTTCTGAAATAAATGTTATAAACATAACTCAAAACAAAAACGTCAATATTCAGTCTAAGAAGAGGTGTGGCTCAATGCCCATCACATGTAACAAGAAAAACCTCCTTTAAAAAAAGGAAAAAAAAGTACTATGAGAAGTCTTTCATATGAATGAAAATGCACCCGTTGGATTTTTCTCCCCCTCATCACATTAGCTTGTATACACGTGGGAATCAAAAGGTTTGCATTTTCTTCACAATAGTTCTTGCTATGATGTTTGACGAACTTTTTGCCACTCAACAAATTCATCAAGAAGAACAGGCCCTAGAAATAAAGAAAGCATTTTTGTCAGAATTCAGTGAACTCATCTTTCCAATTATAAAACAAACTCCCCTTTAGCTCTGCAATGACAGAGGCCTGACCCTTCCCTTCTTTGGGTGGTTCTGCTTCTGCCCACCTTATTCCATTTAATGATGCTACCTTATTGGCCTTTTCTTTTTTGCCCTTAAAGACACAAGGAACAATGGTATCTATAGCAACTTCCTTCTCAAGGTGTTTCATGAACCCTCCAATAACTGACTCAATACAAATCTCTCCCTTTTTCTAAATGTCCATGGCATTCTGGCATGTAATTATGAAACAATCTCAAAAGTGTTTAAGGTAATATTTCTATTTTGCTTCCCCAAGAAATGTATAATCTTATTGAGGGGGATCAACCATAATAGAGACTTGCTTTATTCCAGTAACAGGATGTAGTACAAAGCTGAACACAAAGCAAGTGCCTGATGAGTATCTGACTAATGAGTTAAGAACCATTCTAAAAAATATATATTTATAATGCAGGAGAGGTCCAAACTCATTAAACTGCCAGGAAGGCAGTTTAAATGAGTTCAGTGTTTATTCCGTTTAAATGTAGGAAAAATCACTGCCACAAAGAAATAGGCTTGCTCTATTCTTCTTAAAACACATAATCCTCTGGTGGTCTTTTTCCCTTGCTTTTGACAGACATGTTTCTCTATTGTAAAAAAAACAGCAGAGCAAGTACAATAATAATTGACAACTGAAAAACAACCTAGGTCTTAGCATACTGTGAACTATCAAACTGAAAAGCAAGGCCAACACAGTTACTGCTTGGCTCCAGCCTCTGACTCCTATAAAGCAGTACAGGTGCAATTTTGTCGAATTTTTAAATTTTTCAAACAAATCTGAAAGTTTTATTTTCATACAAAATCTCCTAGTTTTAAATATTGATTCGAAATAAACAAATATACACATCTACAGGCCATATACAGCCTTTGGGCTGCCAGCTTACTGCTGCTAGGTATTATTTCCTTAAAATCATACTAAAATAATATCAAATTTTATACCATCTCATAGAGGGGAAAATACATGTAGGAAGAAATAAAGTTATCCCTTCTGCTATTTTATTTCTTCAGTGTCACAGAAAAAAAGTGTATAATTTCAGTTGAAGTTTATAGGAATGTACTTTCCATACAACCCTTTTGAACACTGAAAACACGCAACCAACCAAAATGGTGGTGGATACTGAAAATAACATATAGTTCTACAGAATTAACTTGATTTATCTAATTCATTTATTATTATTTCAAAATCCTGTTTTATGGAGTATGGACAGATATTTTAACTGGAGGGACTGAAAGATTATAAATATTTCACTATCAGTTTACTCACAATCAATTTATAGTTTTCAGAGAGAAGTTATACTGACATGATATGCCATACTGTTAATGGGTGGCATGATATTATATAATAACTTTAAAGCTTTTTCTAGAGTCACTGATTGTTTTGCTGTCGTATCTCAAAAATCATGACTATACTTTTCTTCCATAGGGAAATGCCAGGAAAGATAGAAACAAAGCTGAATTTTAGCTTCTGAATGCAAAAATTATTTAAATCTAGCTAAAATGTTTGGTTACCGAGGAATTGAAAACATTTCATTTACCAGCATAGATTTTATATAATACTGCTGAATCTAAACTCTCTACTTCTCCCACATCCCTCACATGATTAAATATTAAGTTACTATTACAAAGTTTAAAACCTCTATGCTAATAATACACAAATGCATACTCTCATTTAAGATTTTGGAAATTTTATTTTCACAGGAATACATTATGTTATACTTACAAGCGCCATCTTCATCATAGTTACTAAGATCGGCATGGACTGTTCTGCTGAATTCTAATACATTGTACCACTGATCTTTGTTCATAACACGATACTTTGATTGCTGCAAAAAAATGATTTAAATATTTGTATTAAAAAAAAATTACTCAATTTAGTAAACCAAATTATAACTTTGTGATTTGGATTTTCCTAGAACATTTATTATTCTTTTAAAACTATTTGTGTTTCTAAGAGATTCCTCATGGGCATTTACATATTGATATCATCTATTTTGTACTTTTCTTTCATTTTTGAGGAATAATAAGAGCACTGAGTACTAATTTAAAGATAAAACTAACTTTTACATATGTATATACTTGTGTTACCACCAATCCACCAATGAGATCAAGATATATAACATTTTCTACATCCAGTATATTCTCTTGGGCTGCTTCCTTGTAAATCATTTCTCTACTTAAGATTTACTGTTTAGTCACATTTTGAGTTGGCAAAACCCCGAAAAACTAATTTTGCATGACAAATGTCTGTGCTACAATATGGAGGTTTCTTTCATGGGGGGAGGGTAGTATTGAAAATATCTTAGGTAGAAAATATATTTATAAACATGAACTTCTATCTTAAAATAACAACTGATATGTACATATTTTAATATATTTTTTCTTTACTCAAGCTTTTTTAAAGCATACTATTAAAAATCTATTTGTTCCTCAATTAAAAGTATAACTTTCAGACTAAGTTTTAAAATAATATTTCAAAATTCAAAAAAATATACATACCTCCAGGTACTGGTAAAATACTGAAAACAGTGGCCATGTCCTCCCAAGCAGAAGAGCTAACATAGATTTAGCAGTATCAATATCAAGGCTTCTCTGATCTTTATCCTAAAATATAAGTGAAAAAGTTTTCCTAAGTGTGGTCTCAAGATGAAAAGCTATTGAAACAACAAAACATGAAAACTGCACCTACCCTTGCAAAATCAAAGGCATATCTGTAGATATTCTTAAATGACGAAATGTCATTCAACTGTGAGCGCAAAAAGTCAAATTTGTTTTGTAACTTTTCTGTGCAGTCACACCTTAAATAAAAGAAATATCAAACAATTATATCATCAAGAAAATCCAAAGTATCATTGGAGCTTAGAAGGAATCCATTAACAAAAAAATGAGTTCATTTATGAAGTTAATTTAGGTTTAAAATTCTCTGATTCACAAATTTAGAATAACAAATTTCTTGCCTTGCATCTACCAATGCAACAAAAAAAGAAACCTGGGAATCAATGAAAGTTCAGTCCAATTACTTTTCTTAAAAACAAACTCATTCAAAAATTCCAATAAAATCAAAGTTAAAAAGAGATGTATTAAAATATGTTTTATTACATATACTGCTAAAAATGCCCGCGTCACCCATTTCTTTGGGAAGCTCTTATGTAACAATTTGGTGAAAGAGATTAACCATGAGTGGTTTTAAAAGTTTAGGATGTAACACAGAGGAAATTAATACATTATATTAAGTGGTCCAGTCATAAATCGAGATCCCTATATTTTTGTAAACAAAAAGCCAAGCAGGAAAAGCACCTAACTTCAAATAAGTCATACATGTAAAAGCATGCAAACAAGTCATACATGTTATTTTTAAAGACATGACAACTTCCATATATGGAAGGCTCAAAAATCTCAACTGGATTTCTCTCAGTGGGCTGATAAATTCCACTGCTTAGCAAGAAGAAAGACAGTCAAGGCCTTTCACAATTTGGCACAAATCTCTGTGTCATCTCCTGCCACTTCCAGATGACCTTACCATGCTCTAACTAGATAACTTACCATTCCCAAATGCCACAGCCATGCTTTAGCATCCACTATTTCTACCTGAAATACTGTTCCCTCCAACATGCTGATAAAAATATTACTCATCAAGACCTAAGTCACCTTTTGCCACCTCTGAGACCATCTGACTCCCTTTAATCAAAAATAATTGTGCTATCGACTATGGTCCACAGTATTCCACTTAAAACTGAAGTTCAGTATTCAACATGCTCTCTAGACACCTGGCATTCTCAGATTTAACTAAGACTATACTAAATCAATAATGCAAAGGCCTGTTATGTGTAGTAACATAATTTCATTAATGTGTAAACACTTTGGACAAATTTATAATATTAATTAAACCTGGTCGGGCACGGTGGCTCAAGCCTATAATCCCAGCACTTTGGGAGGCCGAGGCGGGTGGATCATGAGGTCATGAGATCGAGACCATCCTGGTCAACATGGTGAAACCCCGTCTCTACTAAAAATACAAAAAAATCAGCTGGGCATGGTGGCGCGTGCCTGTAGTCCTGGCTACTCAGGAGGCTGAGACAGGAGAATTGCCTGAACCCGGGAGGCAGAGGTTGCGGTGAGCCGAGATTGGGCCATTGCACTCCAGCCTGGGTAACAAGAGTGAAACTCCGTCTCAAAAAAAAAAAAAAAAAAAAAAAAAATTAATTAAACCTTGCATTTCTAGAATAAGTCAAATTTGGTCATGTTACCTGTTTTATACATTGCTAGGTTTTGGGGTTGTTTTTGCTATGTCCTAAGTGAGGCTAGCTTCTAAATTTCATTCTTACTCTCCTTGCCAGTTTTGTTAACAAGTTTGTAGTGTATAAGATTCAGAAAATAAAAAGAGAATTGCTACTTTTTTCCCTGTTTTTTGAAAAAGCTTATGTAACCCTGGAATTAGCATCTGTCCAAACTCAGGTGAGTATTGTGGAAAGGAAGAAAGACTTTTAACTAATAAACCAACATTTTTAATGGCTATAGGACCATTCAGATTTTCTATTTCTTTTTGAATGTTTTGGTCACATACTTCTTTGATAACTAGATTACTTCACATACAATTTTATTTAAATATGATTAAAATTATTTATAACATTTTCTTATTTGCATTATTTATCTTCATCGCTTTTTTGTTGTTTTCTTGACCAATCTTGCCAGAATTTAGAACAAGATCATATCTTTTGCAGGAAAATGGATGGAGCTAGACGCTATTATCCTTAGCAAGCTATTGCTGGAAAACCAAATACCACATATTCTCACTTATAAATGGGAGGTAAATGATGAGAACTTACAAACACAAAGAAGGAAACAATAGACACTGGCGTCTACTTGAAGGTGGAGGGTGGGAGAAGAGAGAGGAACATAAAAGATAACTATTGGCCGGGCGCGGTGGCTCAAGCCTGTAATCCCAGCACTTTGGGAGGCGGAGGCGGGTGGATCACGAGGTCAAGAGATCGAGACCATCCTGGTCAACATGGTGAAACCCCGTCTCTACTAAAAATACAAAAATTAGCTGGGCATGGTGGCGCCTGCCTGTAATCCCAGCTACTCAGGAGGCTGAGGCAGGAGAATTGCCTGAACCCAGGAGGCGGAGGCTGCGGTGAGCCGAGATCGTGCCATTGCACTCCAGCCTGGGTAACAAGCGAAACTCCGTCCCAAAAAAAAAAAAAAAAAAAAAAAAAAGATAACTATTGAGTACTAGGCTTAAAACCTGGGTGATGAAATAATCTGAAGAATAAAGCCCTGTGACACTAGTTTACCTATGTAACAAACCTTCATATGTACTCCCAAACCTAAAGGTTAAAATAAAAGATCTTGTAGTTCAAAAATGCATGTGTATTTCTGCTTTTAGTATTCACTTGAAAATGGCACCTTGACAACAGTTGTTTCAAAGGAGTGATAGGGATAGACATCTTACTGGAATAGGTTTAGCAGAGAATGAAAAGAGTGGAACTGGAGAAAATAAGTACAGATGAATGCTTTCAAAGAGTTTGATTCTAAAGTGGTGAAAAGAAAAGGGGCACTAACTTGAATGGGATGCAGTCAATGTACTTTTTACTCTTTCTCTCTCCTAGGTACAACTAAAATCACTGGACATTTTACAGAAAATAAACATAAGACTGAAAGGTGGAAACCTGAGGAACAACATGCTGGTAAGTTCTCTGAGTTTATTTTTGCCTAATATATTCCAAACTATTGGAGCTGAAGAAGCTAGTAACCAGAAATGCCAATGGGGACAGACAAAAAGCCCCAACAAAATCCTGCCTTTTCTTTAGCCAAAAGACAAAGAAAGGAGGAGCCTCACAAAGCAGAAAATGCTTAGAAAATAAACACTCTAGTTAAAAAACATCAAAAAAACTATGGCCCAACTCTTACCAATGCCAGCAAAGACTGAATGGGGACCTAAAATGTCTACCCTTACCAGGATATAATAAAGCCTCTCTCTCAACTCCTGCAATGCTGGTGGAAACCACATGGGCAACATGAACTTCTCTTCTCACCAGGTAGTAACAAGCAGCCAATCCTCTTCTGCCCTAGATTTGTATAGAGGAGGCCTAGTGAAAAGTCAGGGCTATCACCATCACCCCTATCCCTTTCAGACAAGAAAGTATCAGTAAAAGCCTAGTGGGAACCCAGAACTCTCATCTGTGCCCAACAGTCACAAGGGACATCCTTCTTCAGATGTCAATGGATGCAGAGTAGAAAATTTAATTTCTACCTGTACCTGGCAGTAATAAGGTGGCAGCCCTGATTTCTCTTGCCAGAATAGCATTAGAGTAAGATAGCTAAAATAAAGGTTTAAATAAGATCTAGAGATCCAGAGTTTTGTAATATACTACCTAAAATATCCAGGTTTCAATTTTAAAAATCACTTGGCAAACCAAGATCTCAAGTGGAATGCAAAAAGATGATCAATACTTGCAAACACCAAAATGACAGAGATGTTCAGAATTATCTGACACATTTTAAAGCAGCTATAAAACAAATGCTTCAATGAGTAATCAAAAACATAATTTAAAAAATGAAAAAATGTATCAGCAAAAGTCCAAGGACAAAGAAATATAAGATATAAAAAAAGGAAACAAAGGGAAAGTTTTGAGCTGTAAAATAAAATGTAGACTTAAGCCCTAATAAATCTATAATTACATTAAATGTTAGTAGTCTAAATACACCAATAAGACAGAGTGGATTAAAAAAAGCATGACCCAAATATATGCTGTCTAGAAGAAGCTTTAACTTCAAATAGTATAGAGAGGTTGAAAATGAAACAATGGGAAATAGTATCTCATAGAAACATCAATTAAAAGAAAGCAGAAAGTGGCTTTCTACATTAGATGATACTAAAATAGACTTAGAGCAACTTCAGAGCAAAGAAAATGATCAGAACAAAGAGGATAATTATATTATAATAAAAGGGTCAATCCACCAGAAAGACACAGAATCCTAAACAATTCTAAGCAACCTTATATACATTAAACAATAGAGCTTCAAAATGTGTTAAGTAAAAACTAATAGTGCTGAGAAGAGAAATAAATTCATAATTACAGTTGGATATTTCACCACCCCCTTTTCAGCAATTGATAGAAACACTAGATAGAATTCAATAAACACACAGAATTTAACATCATCAACCAACAGGATCTAGTCGACCTTAATAGACTACTCCATTCAAAGACAATAGAATACACATTCTTTTCAAGTGCCCACAAAACATAAAACAAAATAGACCAATCCAGAGACATAAACCCCTCAACAGATTAAAAATAACAGAAATAAAAAAGAATATGTTCTCTGACAACAATGGAATCAAACTAGAAATCAATAACAAAAAGTTAACAGCTAAAGCTCCAAACACTTGGAAACTAAACATCAAACACCTAAATAATCCATGGGAGAGTTAAGTCTCAAGGGAAAACAATACATTAAACTAAATGAAAATATAACATATCAAAATTTTGAGATACAAATAAAGCATTCCTGAGAGGGAAATTTAGAGTGCTAAATATAAACATTAGAAAAAAGAAAGAGCCTTAATCAATAATCTAAGCTTGTGCCTTCAGAACCCAGAAAAAGAAAAGTAAAATAAACAGAAAGCAAGCAGGACAAAGTAAATAATTAAGAGCGAAACCTCTAAAATTGAAAACAGAAAAATCAATGCAACAAAGCACACTGAAAAGATCAATAAAACTGACTATTCTCTAGCAAGACTGACCAAAAAAGCGAGAAGACAAATTTACCCATATCAGGAATGAAATGGGGTATCATTACAGACTCACTGTTATCAAAAGGATAGTAAGGGATACACAATGAACAGCTCTACATATAAATTTGACAAGTTGGATAAAATGGACCAATTAAGTTTCTTGAAAAATACGCACCACCACAATGCATACAATATACAGTAGATAACCTGAGTAGCCCTACTATTAAAGAAATAAAATAAAAATTTTAAAACTTTCAAAAAAAATTCTCCAGGAGCAAATAGTTGCACTACAGAATTACACCAAGCCTTTAAAAACTTATTCTACACAATCTCTCTCAAATCATAAAAGATTAAAAAAATTTAAAATATTAAAAAAAAAAAATTAAAAGATAAAGAAAAATTCATTTAATAAAGCCAGGATTACCTTGATACCAAAACCAGGCAAATACACACACACACACACACACACACACAAAAAGCCAAATAATGTTATCATTTAATATAGGAAAAGCACTTTAAAAATTTAACATCTATTCATAATAAAACTCTCAGAAAAAAAAAAAATAGAGGGGAGTGTCCTTAACTTGATAGAGCATAAGTAAGCAACATACAGGTAACATAATAGTGAAAGCCAATGCTCTCTCTCTAAGCTGAGGAACGAGGAAAAGATGTCTACTCTTACCACTCTTATCAACGTAGTGGTAGAAGTTCTAGCTCATGCAATAAGTTAAAAAAAAAAAAAAGCAAAAGAAACATAGATCAGAAAAGAGAAATAAACTGTCCCTATTTCTAGATAATGTGACTATGTAGAAAATCCATGGACTATACAGAAAACATGTCAGAACTAATAAGTGAATTGAGCAAGGTCACAGTATACAAGATAAACATATAAACATCAATTGTATTTCTATGTAATAGTAACGAACATGTGGACACTAAAATGTAAAATACCATTTACAATAGCTTGAAGTAAAAATAAAATACTTAGATGTAATTCTAACAAAAGACTTACTTATATGCTGAAAACTACATAAAACTGATGAAAAAAATCAAATACCTAAAAAAATGAAGAGACATTATCTATCTTCCAGTATTCAAAGCAAGACTGACCAAAAAAAAGACATTGCCAATATCAGGAATATCTGAGTATTCAAAGACTCAAAATAGTAAAAATGTCAATTCTCCCCAGATTTATATGCTCTTTAACCAAAATCTCAGCAAGATATTTCTGTAAAACGGAGATTATTCTAAAATTTATATGAAAAAGCAAATACGCTAGAATAGCTAAAACAATTCTGAAAAATGATGCATCACTCTATCTGATTCCAAGACTTACTATTTAGCCACAGTAATACAGACTGTGTGGTACTGGCAGAATGTTAAGACACATCAGTGGAACAGAGAACCCAGAAATAAATGTAAACAAACATGTCTAACTTTTACATACCTTTTACAGAAATTAATTCAAAATGCACTGACTTAAATGTAAAATTAAATGCAAGCCTTCTAGAAAAATATTTAAGAGAAAATTCTCAAGATAAAGGGCTAGGCAAAGAATTCCTAGACTTGACATCAAAAGTACAATCAAAAGTACATCAAAACTGAGGCTCACACCTGTAATCCCAACATTTTTGGAAGCTGAGGCAGGTGGATCATTTGAGGTCAGGAGTTCAAGACCAGCCTGGCCAACATGGTAAAACCCTGTCTCTACTAAAAAATAGAAAAATTAACCAGGTATGGTGGCACATGCCTGTGTGACTACTTGGGAGGCTGATGTGGGAGGATGGCTTGAACCCAGCAGGTGGAGGTTCAAGATTGCAGCACTGCACTCCAACCTGTGCAACAGAATGAGACTCTCAAAAAAAAAAAAAAAAAAAAAAAATATAATCCATAAAAGGAAAAACTAATAAACTGGACTTCATTAAAAACTTTTGCCCTGCAAAAGACCTTGTTAAGGGAATGAAAAAAGTTACAGAATGTAAGAAAATGTCTGTAAAACACAGATTCAACAAAAGACTAATATCTAGAAAATACACAGAACTCTGAAAATTGAACAGTAAAGATTCATCTTCCATGTCTGTTAGCATCTCTTTCACATTCTCCTGCCCCTCTGCACTAATTTCCTTAGATATTGTAGGTCACTGATCCTTACACATCAACTACATCTATCTTCTTTCTATCTCATCCCCTGAGTTTTTAATCTGCTGTTTTTCACTTTCAGAAATTTAATTATTTGGAGTCTGATATCTGAGACCATTCTCTTTTCTGTAACCATAGTTATGTGGAAATTCTGATAATTCATAAGTTAATCTTAAAGGGTCTGATTCTCAAGTTCATTTTTTAAGATTGATTTTCCAATATGTTTAGTAATTTTTTATTATAAACTAATGATCATGGAACATTTTCTGCAAAAATTGAGGTTTGTGTAAAATTTCTCTACAGAAGAACTGCTTCCATTACAAACAGGGGAGTCTTATTCTAAAACACATTTTTGGCTTAGGTCATACAGTGAATTCCAGCCCCAAGTCTGCAAGACAGAAGGTGGAGGACTAGGAATTCTCTCTGGTAGAATCCCTTTACCTCTAATTGTATGTAAAACCAAGTCCAGGTCATCAAATCTCCATTCATTGCATAAGTTGGTCATCAATGTTTTTGATCAAATTCCCATCTTATTAAGGTCTTGCTTGAAAAGTGTCCCCTGTTCTCAACGTACATGACATATCAACAACCAGACACTAGGTGACTAGGAAAAGGTAGGTTTCTTCAGGGTAAATGCCAGCTCCATAGATCTCTATAGAATCACCATCACTCATTTGTGGCCTCTGATTATTTTCCTTATAGGTAAATCCAAGCATACTTTTAAAAAGATGTTTTTAAATGTTATCCAGCATTTAAGTGTTTTACATGAGAAATGGTTTCTCCACACATTCAGTCTGCCATATTGCCAGAAATGGAAATTCTGTTAAAATTTGGTTAAGTTAACCAGATTTGGCAGAGGCCTAATTCCTTATATATGAATGAATGAATGAATCATATGCTTCATGAGGAAACAAGAAAAATTTATTCTTACTACTTATTAGAAATTCATTACCTACTATTTCACTAAGTGATTTCTGTTAGTGCAAAAATTATTCATTATGTGAAAAATAATGCTTTAATGAAAGTTGACTTCTACCATGGGTATATGTAAAACAAATTTCTCAGATTACATGCTACTATAATGTTGTTTGAAAATATGGAGATGAAGTCTTCAAGATCTCCAACCATCACTTGAAAATGTTCAGAGGGTCCCACATTTTAAGTACCTAGTTAGGGCCGGGCGCGGTGGCTCAAGCCTGTAATCCCAGCACTTTGGGAGGCCGAGGCGGGTGGATCACGAGGTCAAGAGATCGAGACCATCCTGGTCAACATGGTGAAACCCCGTCTCTACTGAAAATACAAAAAAAATTAGCTGGGCATGGTGGTGCGTGCCTGTAATCCCGGCTACTCAGGAAGCTGAGGCAGGAGAATTGCCTGAACCCAGGAGGCGGAGGTTGCGGTGAGCCGAGATCGTGCCATTGCACTCCAGCCTGGGTAACATGAGTGAAACTCCGTCTCAAAAAAAAAAAAAAAAAAAGTACCTAGTTACATGTACTCCCTTTCCTACCATGACTTAAGTAGGGCCTCATCTTCTATATCTTTGAGGTTTTTTTAAAGTAATGTTTTTCACATTTAAAAAAAGTAACGTGACTCACATCTTTCATACAAAATCTCAGGCAGAATCTTAACAGACTTGAGACTTAAATCTTAAGAAAGCAAAGAAGATAAAGGATGCCTCCTTACAGTCAAAGTTCTTCCTTTC